AAAAAAAAATATATATATATATATATATATATATATATATATAGTTGCTCTTTATTGAAAAGCTTTCCTTCTGATATTGGCTATACAACAAAACTGACTAGGAACATAATTATATTCATTAATTCCTGTATTCCTACTCAGTTTCATTCTCAAGCTGACATTATAGGTAAATATCTTATATGCACTAGTCTGGTCCTTTTCAATTCCTTACACAGCCACTAGTGCCATTTGATACCAGATGGGACCGACTGACTACTGATCAAGTTTATGCCAGGGTAATATTTCTCACTCTATAATGCCAATATGCAACAAACTATTCTTTGAAGGTGGGATAGGCAATACCCTGTTCACATTGTTTATTAGTGTTAATAGGTATTGTATTGATTCTTACCTGTTATTTTCCAAAAGAATATGGGTACATCTTTCTTCAGAGCAGTTGTGATTAAATGGTTTCTTTCTCATCCAAAGAATTTGTGTAAATAATAAAATTTCTTTTATATCCTAAATGTCCATTATTTTAGATCTGCTAGTTGATATTTACAACATACTTTATTGGGTATTGTTATTTTTTAAATACATAATTAAAATTTAAGAGTGTATATATGAGGTTTCCTTTTGATAATATATCCAAATTGTATTACTGTTACAGGCATTAGTCAATAATCCCAAAATTGAAGTAATAGATGGGAAGTATGCCTTCAAGCCCAAGTACAACTTGAAAGATAAGAAGGCCCTACTTCGACTCTTAGATCAGCATGACCAAAGAGGTTTAGGAGGAATTCTTTTAGAAGACATAGAGGAAGGACTGCCCAATTCCCAGAAAGCCGTCAAGGTAACTGTCTTTTCTTTCTGTGCTTTAATTTGAATTAATAATGTCTAGGTTTTAAAAAGATAGCAAGAATTTTTAAATTTTTATTTTTAAGGCATCTCTCCTATGTACTTGGGGTGTGAGCTCGCTGAAGATTTGAAATTTGTGTCTTATGCTACAGAGCAGGACAGAGCGTAGCCATTTTTATCTACCTACGCTTTTTTTTTTTTTTAATTTTATTGGGGAACAGCCATGGTCATTGGTTACACATTGCTTTAATGCTACAATGGCATAGTTCAGGGGTTGGCAAACTGCGGCTCATGAGCCACATGCGGCTCTTTGGGTACGTTCCCTCTCAAAAGTTTGCTGACCCCTGGAACAACACAACAATTTAAAAATTATTCGAGAGCCATAAATATATTTTTACAAATAAGGAAAATTTAAAGTAATATTATAAATGAAACTATGATAGTTTTATTTATATTTTCAATTTTACTTCAGAGCTACATGTACGTACCCAAAGAGCCACATGTGGCTCGCGAGGCACAGTTTGCCAACCCCTGGCAGCTCTTCCATCTCAAAAGTTTGCCGACCCCTGGCATAGTTGACTCAGAGAGGGTGCAGCTCACAGTGGCCTATGTGGGGATTGAACCGGCAACCTTGGTGTTATCAGTAACACGCTCTAACCTACTAAGCTAATGGGTCAGCCCCTTTTTGTGTACCTTTGATAGCTCCCTTTTGTACTGCTGTTATGTCTGATTGTTTGATTCTTCAGACTATTTCTGGAAAAAAGTTTTCCTCAAAGACATGGTGTTTTCATCATAAGTTTTTATGTTTATGTATGAGAACTGCCTCAACAAGATACTGCTAACCTGAGGAACCAGAGGCATTAAATCACAAAAGCATTAACCATTAATCTGGCTGTTTTGAATTCCTAAAGGGGCTATCAGTAAGTCATACAGATTACATTTCCAGTTTAAATTTGGAACTCACTTGGAAAGGCTGCAAGTCTCTATTCTTCACAGTTACTAATGATTGATGCTACCTGTGGAGTAAAACTTGCTCCTTTCTCTCCTCTACATCTTGGTGATTCGGTTACACATATTAGACCTTTTGGTATTGTCCCATAAGTCCCTGAGGCTGGCTCTGTTTATTTTTGTTTTGTTCTGTTCTACTGATCTGTTGTCAAGTCCACTGACTTTTCTTCTTTACCTCTAATTTGTTGGTGAATTTTTTATTTTAGAGATTGTATTTTTCAGTTATACGCTTTTCATTCTTTTATGGTTTATGTTTCTTTGCTGAGATTTTGTTTCATTCATTACAAGAAAATTTTTCATCATACCCTTGAGTATAATTTCTTATAATTCTTTTAAAATCTTCATCTTCTAATTTCAACAGCTGGGTCATCTTGGGGCTGGTCTGCACTGATTCTCTTTGTCTCTTGAGTATGGATCATGTTTTCTTGTTTCTTCATATACCTAATAAGTTTCTGTTGTGTATTGAACATTATGAATTATATGTGTAAAGACTCGGGATTCTGTTATACTCCTCCAAAGAGTGTTTTTGGTTTTTTTTTTAAAGATTTTTATTGGGGAATTGGGGGATGGGAACAGCGCTGGGGAATTGGGGGAAGAGGAACAGACAAGTTGCTGTCCTTTTTGTTCTTCAGTCTAGTTGTGGAGGACATTGCTTCACTGGTCCAAGTTAGCACCNCTGTGGAGGGCAGTGTCACTGGCCCTCATATGTGGGATCCGAACCGGGGCCCTCTGGCGTCCCAAGCCAGTTCTTAAACAACGCGCCACTCGGCCGGCCCCCTACATATGTTTTTTAACATAGACTTTTTTACATTTATTTTGTTATTTTTTTAAACTGAGATATAATTGACATATACCACTGTATTAGTTTTGGGTGTACAACATAATGATTTGATATATGTATAAATTATACAATACAGTATTGTTAACTGTAGTTACCATGTTGTAATTACAATCCTAGGACTTAATTTATCTTATAATTGGAAGTTTGTACCTTTTGATCACATTCATTCATTTTGCCCACCTCTTACCCCTCACCTCTGGCCACCACCAACCTGTTCTCTATCTGTAAATTCAGGTTTTTATGTTTGTTTTTGGATTCCACATATATGTGAGATCATATGGTATTTGTCTTTCTCAGTCAGACTTATTTTATTTAGCATATTACCCTCAAGGTCCAACCATATTGTTGCAAATGCAGGATTTCCTTCTTTGCTTATGGCTAACTAATACTCCATTTTGTGTGTGTGTGTGTGTGTGTGTGTGTGTGTGTGTGTGTTAATTGATTGCATTTTTTAGAGCAGTTCTAGGTTCATAGCATAACTGAGCAGAAAGTACTGAGCTCTCATATTCACCGCCCCACTCGCCCCAACCTCCCACACTATGCATCTTGCACCAAATCTTTGAACCTACACTGACACATCATTATCACCCAAAGTCTGTAGTTTACGTTAGGATTCACTCTTGGTGTTGTACATTCTGTGGGTTTTGACAAGTGTATAATGAATGTGTTTGTGATTATAGCATCATGCAGAATAGTTTCACTGCCCTGAAAACCCTCTTTGCTCTGCCTCTTCATTCCTCCCGCCCCCTTAACCCTTGGCAGCCACTCGATTGTTTACTGCCTCCATTTCCAGAATGTTGTGTAGTTGGAATGTAGCCTTCTGAGATTGGTTTCTTTCACTTAGTAATAGGCTTTTAAGGTTCCTCCAGGTCTTTTCATAGTTTGATAGTTCATTTCTTTTTGTACTGAGTTCACTGTCTGGATGTACCACAGTTTTCTATTAGGTTTTGTTTTTGTTTGTTTGTTTCTTTATCAACTCACCTACTGAAGGACATCTTAGTGCTTCTAAGTTATGGAATTATGAATAAAGCTATAAGCATCATGTGTGCAGGTTTTGTATGAACATAAGTTTTTAACTCCTTTGGGTAAATACTCAGGAGCATAATTGCTGGATCATAAGATAAGAATGTATTTAATTTTAAAAGAAACTGCTGAACTGTCTTCCAGAGTGGCTGTACCATTTTCCATTTCCACCAGCAGGGAATGCAAGTTTTTCTTCCTCCAAATCCTCACCAGCATTTAGTGCCTACATATGTTTTTTAATTTAATAATTGGTCCTGGACATCTTTCCAATTTAGCACAGAGAACACCTGCATTTTCTTTTGAACCTCTGTATGGTAGCATAGGTGTGCTGTAGTTTATTTAATTTGTCGTCTGTTGATGGCCACTTAGGTTGATTCTAATATTTCCCTTTTACACGTGATGCTGCAGTAACCACTCCACTTTTCTATGTTGTGCTGGTATATCTGTAGGGTAAATTCCTAGAAATGGGATTGCTGGGTATAAGGATATAAATGCATTTATATTGTGAAATTGCCCTACATAGTAGTTGTATCAGTTTGCATTCTTCCCAGTTGTGCGTGAGAGGGCCTGTTTCCTTACAGCCTCACCATCCAACATACAGATTTTTGCCACTGTAATAGGTCAGGAATATGTTGCTGGAAGTTGAGTATCTTTTCATATGTTTAATGGCACTTTCATTTCTTTTCCTCTGATTTGTGTGTTCGTCTTTGTGTCGTTTTCCTGTTAGATTTTTGGAGCTGATAAAATATTAGCAAACATTTTTCCTCGTTTTGTCATTTGATTTTATAGAGCTACAAGTTTGAACCGTGTTCTGCCTGATTTTATAGTCCATTCTTTTTATCACTGTAACTGTACTGCCTTAAATAATATGTGTTTTACATTGCTGAAAAGATTTATTTACACTTAACTATTATTTAATGTAACTAGCATTTTAAAACTGTCTTCTAATATCTTCCCTCAATAGACACGTCATCAACGAGGAGATACACATCCTCTAACTTTAGAAGAAATTTTGGATGAAACACAACATTTAGATATTGGACTCAAGCAGAAACAATGGCTAATGACTGAGGTAAGAATAGGCTTAAAATACTGTAAAAAAGAAAAAAGATTAGTTGATTACCATGAAATATTTGCAATCACTAGGGTTTTTAATATACTGAAATCTGATAATTATTTTTACTTAAAAGAATTGGCATAGGGTCTTTGTTTTTGTTTTGTTTGTTTTTTAATTGGGGAATTGGGGAGATGGGAACAGTGCTGGGGAATTGGGGGAAGGAGAACAGACAAGTTGCTGTCATTTTGTTCTTCAGTCTAGTTGTGGAGGACGTTGCTTCACTAGCCCAAGTTGGCACCATCATTGCGCTCTTCCCGGGCGAGGCACATCAGTCGCTGGCTTCTGGACGGCCGTTCACTGCGGCTGCTGGCCACTCACGCTGGCTACATACAGTAGCCCATGGCAACCCACTGCCACAGGGGCTGCATCCTACGCCGTCGCCCGTGACTTACAGCAGCCCAGCTCCAGGTTGAGCTGTTTGTTGTTCAGCATCTTAGCTGTGGAGGGCAGTGTCAGTGGCTCTCATATGTGGGATTCGAACCAGGGCCCTCTGGCATTCCAAGCCAGNAGGTTGAGCTGTTGTTCAGCATCTTAGCTGTGGAGGGCAGTGTCACTGGCCCTCATATGTGGGATCGGAACCGGGGCCCTCTGGCATCCCAAGCCAGTTCCCAACCATCGCGCCACTCGGCCGGCCCATGACAGTTTTTAATTCTTATGTATTTTAAACTCTGAAATCACATGATGAAAATATTTCCAAAACATTCTTTTTCCAAATGCTCTTTCCATAGCATGAATTTCTTTCAAAAAGCAGTTACTTTGTTACTTACACACATTGTTAAAATGCTGGTTTTACTTTGAAGGAACAGAATTATAATTGTTTTTAAAATTATTGTTAGCAAGCTGATTGGCCTCTGTAATCATAGAAATAGCTAACAAATTTGAAACATTTGCCTTTTTGGAAAAAATTTGTAACTCACTTTTTTTTTTTTTTTAAGTTTGTAGCAGAGACTAGTTTTATTAGAATAGAAAGTTACAGCTCTCGAAACGAGAGGGGGGTCCTGACTTG